CCTCTACCCCCTTCAGAGAGGGAGCCTGGAAGAAGATGGGCTTTGCATTTTATACCTTTGTGTACTATTTGCACTTTTTTGTAATGAGTAGAAGTTGCTTTTATGCAATACATTCTCTAAAGTTTTAAAACAATGGTATAGAAATACATACCATAGAAATATATTTTGACATGGAAAGATATTCAGAATGCACTACTAAGAATGTTTTTTATGCTGGAAAACATATATACAATGAAAAGGATCTGGAAAGATAAATTCCAAGGTGCTACCTGTGGTTCTCTCTGTGTAGGACTTTGGTGTATTCTTTCTACCCATGTGCTTTCTTTCTAATGATCAGGGATGGATTTTTTTATTAAAATAATAGCAGTGAAAGAAAGCATTTTGGAGGAAAAGGGAAAAGAACAGAATTCAGAGGCAAAGCTGGGGGAGTGACAAGTGAAGGGGGAGCCCAGCTGGCCAGAGACTGGGGAGGGGAAGGAGGCAGGATAGGACATACTTGCCTATCCATCTGGAAAAAGAAAACCAAAACTGGAAGTCCTAGAAATGGTCCTCCTCACCCAGAGTGCATGTGGTCCACAGCAGTGTAACCCAAGGACTCCTGTCTTTCCGGCTTGGACCCATCTCTGAGGCTCTCTCACTGCAGATAGAGAGGCTGGCAGGGAAGCACCAAAGCACAGCCCCAGGTGATGTCTACTTCTGCAGGGTGTTCTCCTCTGTTTCCCCTGGATATAGGGCAGGATGTGCTACCCCAGCCCTAGAGAGGAGAAAACAGGCCCAGGGTCATTCAACTCCAATGTGTTGGCTGGTCTGATGCCTAGTTATGATATGGAAGGTCTCTGTTGTAGTTTGCCTACTTAAAACACCTCCTAACTAAAGGAGGGGGCCACAATGTCCCTTGTATGTGTGACCCTACTGGGTGCCTACACTCCTGCACTTATAGTGGAATAAGGTATCAGATCAGTCTCAAGAAGCAGAGATAGCAGAGAACACCAGGCTCCATCTGAAGTTGGGAATGCAATATCAAGGGAACAAAGCAGGCCCACATCAGTGAGTGGGTACAAGGGAGAAAGTATGGATAATCATTTTCTACTTCCTTCTCTAAACACTGTACAATCTTACCTTCATTTCACTCCTTCTAATGTCTTTTCATTGTGGTCTTATCAACTTCTGCATTATACCATTTTAAAAATATTACCTCCCTGCTGTGCACAGCTGAGGGCTGCAAAGAAAGCCACCTAGAAGATGGTCATAGTTTGCACAGAAAGCCTGCACTCCAGGGAGATGACTCTCAGCCTGAAGATCATGCTAACCCAGCCAGAAAAGGTAGGATGACTTGCTCAGGCAGTGAGGGAACAGGCACCAAGTGTTTGGGAGGGAGCCATCCAACAGGGAAAAGAAAAAGACACACACATGGTGCTTCCCCCGCCCCAAGATGACTGTACATCCTGTGTCTAGCAGACAGCTAGACGTCTGTCTACACTGTCTGGTTATTCGGATTTGGTAACTACATGGTACAGGCTTCCAGGCACATACTTCCAATGGAAGATGCTAACTCTAGCCACCCACACTGCTCAATTACTGATTCATGGGGCCTCCTTGTGTCCACACTGGGCCTAGAAGCTATATAGTAGTTATAACCTCTGGCTCTGGAGTCAGCACTTATCTGGGCGTGAATCCTGCCTTCTGTTCCTACTAGCTGTGTAGCTGCAATAAATTAGTTTACCTCTCTGTGCCCTGGTTTCCCTTAGCTATTATAGGCATTAAATGGGAGGATGCCCATAAAATGCTTAGGTAGGGTATGACTCGGAGTGAAAGCTCAGTGAACACTAGCTAAAGATAATTCATCAAGATATCTGCATACACACATTTGCAGTGTTGATAGAACCCAATCACTAGGATGGTATCAGGACTAGGGAGCACCAAGATGATGGATGTGTTCCCAATTGCATCATTTGCACTCTCCCACAGATGAATCTCATCACCAGATAATGAAAGTAGCAAAATGAGAAAACACAGATATTTAAAGTGTGGGGAAAGCCAGTCCAGAAGAGCCTGAGAACCTTTGTTAAAGATAGGGGATTCAGTATACTCCCCAGACCTTGGATGATCATAACAGTCAACTTCAAAAAGATAGGATATGCACTGTTTGTGCACACAAGCACATACACACTTTGTAGAGGAGAGGACTAGTCGAAAGAAGTAAGGAAGAGGAGACAGAGAATTCTTAACATCTAAACATTCTCCCTGTGCCACCACACTGGCAAATGATTGCCTTGGTCAAGCTCTCAGCTCCTACTGAAGCAAAGCCTGAACATATATCCCTCAAAAAATGGTCTCTTCAAAGGTTAGACTGGGGAGCCTTCCTGGGGAGAAAAAGGGCTTTACATGAAAAGGCAGAAAGGGAATGAGGAATATGCAGGAGAAAGAGAGCACAAGAGGGACAACAGAAAACAGCAGAGTAAAGGTTCAAGCCAGAAAGAATCAACAGGATTCATAACTGGGCTACTGGGGATGCCCTCACAAACATCATCAAGACCACCTTAGCAATGGGTTCTATTTGTATCTCTCAGAAACAAACTCCAGGGAGAAATCAGAGTCTGATCAGGCTCCTACGGTCAGGGGCTTGGTCAGAGAAAAAAATAAGGGTGACAAGAAATAGAGCAAACACTTGTCACCTTGTGGACGAGGGGCTAACATAGCACAAAGAGCTGGCAAGTGGACAGTCAGCAGGTCCTCAGCTCATTTCCAGACACCAGCCACACAGGAAAGACATAACAGAACAGCAGCCACAGCAATGTTGGGCAAAGGGAAGAATGAAGTGCTTTACTGCAAGAGAAGGAGGTAGCCATTACTGAATCTATCAATTAAAATGACCAGACTCATTTCCCTCATACTCATATATTTATCCCCTTTTTATTCTCTAAATATTTCCACAACTGAGCTAAATCATGCATTAAAATTATAGTTTTTATAATTAAAAAAACTTTATTTATTTATTTATTTTGAGGCAGAGTCTTACTCTGTTGTCTTGCATGGAGTACCATGGTGTCATTATAGCTCTCAGCAACCTCAAACTCTTGGGCTCAAGTGATTCTCTTGCCTCAGCCTCTCAAGTAGCTGGGACTACAAAAGTGCACTACCATGCCTGGCTAGCTTTTCTGTTTTTTTGGTAGAGACAGAGTCTCATTCTTGCTCAGGCTGGTCTTGAACTCCTGAGCTCAATCAATCTACCCACCTTAGAGAAAATAAAATATTTAGAGAATAAAAAGGGGATAAATATATGTGTATGAGGGGAAAGTATGTAAAAGCTCAGTCTTATTCTTAAAATGCCAATAGATAATATTTAAAACTAATAAGTAAAAAAAAGTGGTATACAAATATCATTTAGATAAATGGAGTAGTAGATGAAGTAGCTTTTAGCTGAATCAGAACCTATATTTTAATTCTTTTAGGACTGAAAGTAAGTGGCTCTGGAGAACCGACTTGGGGTGGAAAGGTAGAGCTGGGGAGTCATGCTCATCATTATAAATTTTGCATTTCTGACTCTTAAAATAGTGTTCAAACACTATTTTGCTTTGTTCAACACTGTGATCAAAATAAAAGATTCTCTTAAGCAAAAAAGATTCATCTCAAGACGGAGTTCAATTTACTATCCCCAACCAAGACTGCTCTGGTCTTCTTCTTCTACATTCATAAATATTAGTCTCTAGCATCCATGTGGCAATTAATTATATTCATTTGCCAATGAGCTAAACTTGTCCATTGTTAATTATCTTTCCACCTGTATCTCATCTTCCTAACGAAATCATAGCTGCTTAACAGCAGAGACCACGTCTCATAATCTTTAAGGAGCCCATGGCCTACCAAGTGATTAAACCCACAAGGTCCAGCAGCCCAGCTCCCTATTACCTGCGTAGGCATTGGCCTGCTGCAGGAGGTCAGTGCAGGTGTGCACGTCTGCAAAGGCACGGATGCCCAGGCAATTGGTGGGATGCAACTGAGACTGTAGGAAATCACAGCAGTTCTGGCGAACATCCATGAGCTGCAGCAAGCTGGCTGCTGGGAGCAGTACCTGCAAGAGAAGGTGACATTCTGAAACAATAAATTCCACCAGCAGGGACTCATTCCCATAATCATGGTTCCAATTATATAGCTCCCATGCTCAAGATCTTTTCATGGCTTTCTACTACACTGTGGTCAACAGGTCCAAATATCCCAGTTGGCTTTCCAGCCTTATTTCCCACTAGTCTCTACTTTACAGCCCCTAAACAGATTCTCTCTATCCCTATAGCAGTGTCACTCGATCTTTAATCCCTAGGGAGCATACCACAGATTCTGATTCAGTAGGTCTAGGGTACGGCTTGAGAGCCTGCATTCCTAATGAGACTCCAGATGATACTTGCAGCTGCTTGTCTATGAAACACCATTTTACTAACAAAATCCTATACACATGTGCACACATATACATACATACTCTACTGTAAATGTTCTCATACTTGGCTGCATATCAGAATCACCTGAAGAATTTTTAAAATGCTGATGCCTAGTTCCCACCCTCAAAGATTCTAACCTAACGGTATGAGATGTGGCCTGAACAATGAGATGTTTTTAAAGCTCCTCAGGTATTTCAAATGTAGAGCCAAGTTTGAGAACTACTGCCTCACAACCTTTAGTGTTCTGTCCTCACTTAGAAAAGTACTTCTTGAATTGTCCACTAGCTCCTTCTCCACTTAATTACTAAGCCTCTTTGGGCCAGGCAATGGGCCAGGCCCATGGTTTTTCAACCTTTTTTATTTCACGGCACACTTGAACCTATTGTTAAACTTTCACAGCATACTTAAATTATGTTGATCAAAAAAAGGGTAAAGAAAAGAATATACTTACTGTGCTTAGAACTTTTTTCAAAAATAATTTAATTAATGATCCTTAAAAATTTTTGCAACACACCAGTGTGCCATGGCACACCAGTTTAAAATCGCTACTCTAGGCTTTGAGATTCAGTACTAAGCAAAATAAAATAGTTCCTGCTCTCACAAAACTTTCAGTCTACCAGAATAAGAGATTCACCCCCAAATCCCTCAGGACTTAGGCAACCATACTTTATTCTCCCATTCAACAGATAGAAAATAGAGAACCTCTTTGGGTATATTCTCAGAGAAAAGAGGGCTGAGTTTGTTTTTTAAAAACGTTGCAGGACACATGAGCATACTGCATCCTGAAAGACAGAAATAGTCCTTGCTCAGGTTTATGTACATGTGTTTTTCCTAAGAGCCAGGGAAGACTGGCTTGAGCAGGCCAGCTAAATTCTCACCTTTTTAGTCCTCAGACTGCCAACCCCTATCCAGTTTCAGGACTTTCCCACAGCTGCTGATCCCTGCCCTCTAGATCAAAAGTATAGGACAGAAAACTGAAGTCCTACTCCACTCCAGCTCTGCTTCCCTGACCTTCACCTATGGAAGGGGCAGGTAATCTGAGAATGATTTTCCAAATAGAAATTTAGAAAAAAAATTGCAGAGCAGTTTGATTTAAGGCTGCTTAACTTACGAACCATAGCATCCATTTTACTGCAAAGCAATCCCCTCTCCTAGGCCTTTGCTCTCAGCTGCCTCTCTGGCTCTCAGAGAAAGTGACTAAGCCAACCAAACCCCAGCTGTTCCTATCTGCAAGGACTTGCCAAGGAAGACATGAGATGCAGATGCATTTTTTTTTCTTGATTCAGAGCACTACAAGCCTTTTAAGTGATTTAAATTACAGGCCCTGATCTTCCAAAACAGCTTTGAGTCCTCTGCTCTGACTCTGATCACTCTATTTGCTCAAGCCAAAAACTCTACCACACTGCCCATTCTTGGGCCTTTCCCTCCACTAGGATAACCAATTGTCCTGGTGTTTCACAAGGGTTTTCTGGGACTTTCAGTGTTAAAACTAGGACAATTGGTCACCCTTCATTATCCCTGCTCACATGCAGTAACCACCAGAGCATGCACTATCAGCATCATACTCCTGAGCTAAATGCCTACTTTCAACAACGAAAGTTCTCCTCCCAGCCCCCACCCACTTAAATTTCTCCCTCATGGAAGCTAAGTTCTAGACAACATGCTCCTTTCCTGAGAAATGATAAAATCACCCTGTCCTAAGAGTTTTAGACCATAAATGAACACAGCCGGGATCCAAATCTAGCACCCTGAGTTCTATCCCCACTCCATTTCCACTAAACAGCCATAAACCAGGAAATTCAATTAACCTATGAGCTTGCTCAGCCTGGTTAAACAGATTCCAGGACCAGATTAGTCTCTGCCAGCAAGTTAAATGGAGATCTATTAACCATTCTTGCTGAATGCACATGAGGAATGGAAAGCTCTATTCCAAGTCCTCAAATGACCTCCATTACACCTGCCCAGGGCAACACCAGCTACAAAGCCTGGAATTAAGGCCACAGGTTGACCAATCATCCTGATTTAACTGGGACTTTACTGGTTTGGGCACTGAAAATCCCACATCTCAGGAAACCACTCAGCTCTAAGCAAACTGGTACAAGTATTCACCCTAGGGAGAAGTAACCTCTAACCCGTAACCTTAAGCGTGTAGGGGAGAGAAAGTCATCAAAAGCTGTCCAGCACACACCCTACTCAGAGGTATGGCAAGCCCCACAAGGACCAGCTAAGTAAAGGCAGGAATGCCACACAGTCGTCCTTTATCCTAGTCAGGAGGACTTCAGAGAATCCAGTCTGCCCCCAGATTGCATTCCCAGCCAACTCCCAAAAAGATCATGCCAGCAACACACAGTTCCTTCTCCTCTTCCAAGAAGACGGCAGCAAGGTTTGGTGCTTAAATACTCAAGCTCATGACAGCCAGGAAAGGAAATAATAAATATTTCCTGAACATACTCATTAGGTTACACTTTCGGTTTTTAAAACCTCCCTAGATAAAAAATAAAAAGATAAAAAAATAATCTCCTCCCTGGAAAGACCTACCCACATAGCTTTTAACTTTCCTACTGTCTACAATACCCACTTAGGCAAAAATTCTAAGTCTCTTCCACCTCTCCACAACCCCCATCCTGTTTGGGTCTACTCCTGACCTAAAGCATTCCCAAACTGACTTCCTAAAATGAATGGGGCTTGTGGTTCCTTTAATTGCTTCTTCCCTTTCTTTGATCTTACACTGTGATTAGCTATGAGTCAAAGGCCCTTTTCTTCCCTCTGCTTGCTTCAAACAGGAAGGCGTGAAAAAATGTCAAGGAAGTCAGAATGCTAAGGGGGATGATTTGAAAGCTGAAAGATATATCACTGCTCAAACTCTGGATCTAAGGATAAACTAGGGCCCCAAAGGAGTTCTGGAGTCTGGACCCAACTACAAAACAAATTCCCAAAGTCTCTGAAATAAAAGAGAGCAAAACATCCATCAGGTGGCTATCTTCAGTTCCTTCTCCCCAAATCAACAGGGATTTGAGGGGATTTCCTCTTCTCTTATCTTGCCTGAAACTCTACTCCCTAAACAGTAGCAGTAACAAGATTATGAACAAGAGGCCAAGTGCAGGTCTTCAGCTTCAAGCAAGACTGTCCTTGTAGACAGAGCAATAGGTATACCCTTGGTCCCTATAGGGGAGAGGCTGAGACCAGAAAAGTAGTTGCCTTCATCAGACTGGAAGATTACCATAAGCAAAAAGCTTCTAGCTTGCCTTTCACCACCTCAGCATTACAGTTCTTAGAAAACTATGGCCATGAGCAAAGAGTTCACAGGTTCCCCTTCAGCTTGCAAATGGCTTTCCCTCCATTTTTCATGTGCAGGCCGTTTTATTTTTTCTCTCCCTTGGATAACATGAAAACACAACAGAGGATATCCTGTCACAGGGTTTGCTTCCTTTTGCAAAAACAAGAGGAAATGCCCTGCCTCAGAAAGCACCTACTCCTGGAATTCTAGGGAGGCAGGGCCACACACAGAGAGAAGACACCAGCCAAGGGGCCAAGTACTGAGACCACCCAGCACCTCTGCCCAAGCCAGTGAGAGTGCTGGCTGGCCAAGTACTGAGACCACCCAGCACCTCTGCCCAAGTCAGTGAGAGGCTCAAAAAGAGTGCTAAATAAAAATCTACGGAGAGAAAGAAGAAAGAAAGGAAGAGAGAGAGAGAAATGAACAGAAGTGCTGGAAGAATAGTACTGCGCCATTTTGATTTTGACCTCTCTACTGACTAGCCACGTAACTGGGGACAAACTATGTAATCTCTCTGGGCCTCTGTCTCCTCAGTAGTAAAATGAGAACGATAATGGCTTACTGTAAGGATCAAATGAGATAATATATTTAAAGCAGGTAACACAATTCTTGGTATATAGGGAGGGCTCGGTTGATATCCATTTTTATTATTACAAGTCATTACAACTTGAGCCAAAGTTCTGATTATTCATTTAGCAAGAAACTAGAATTCACCACAGTCATAGAGCACAATAAGTTGGAGAGAGCTGGCTTCAACTCTACCACTTAACTCTCTGTGAGACCTTGGCAAGTTATTTAACCCCTTTCAGCAACAGTTTCTTCAGGTTTTTACAGCTGGAGGGGGGCATCATATTAGCATATTCTATGGAGTGGTTATAAATTAAATGAAATAAGGCATGTGAAATTACTGGCACACACTTGGCTTATAATGAGTATCAGTTAGGACTGTTGTTACTTCCACCATGGAAGGACAACTCAGGGTCCCTCCAAAGTATGTGTGGCTGGGAAGAGACTAAGAGTGTAGCTCTTACAGCCATTTAACAAAGCCTTAGTCTCTGATTCTTGTTTCTAAGGCATGCAGAAGAGGCCCAGTGCTTCCATGGTCATCTTCCCAATCTACCAAATCCTCAATGGATCCTGTCTTCATAGACAACCTGTGAGCAACTGCCTTAGCAGATACATAACAACATGAAGAAGAATCTACATTTTGATCCAAACTCTCTTCTTTTTAATCTTTTTTATTTTGTTTTCCTCTAAGGCCACCCCTGACCTAACCACAGTTTAAAGTGAGGCAGACAAAGGAAAAGGAAATACAGTGAAACCTCTGTAAGTTGACCACTCAAGGAACTTTAAAAAACTGGC